TCACCCCTTATCGATCACAACTTCAATGGCATCCGTTTGTTTCTGGCCGCTTGGAATATTTGGGGCCTTAGGGGGGGTCCATGTGCTCAGCAACTGTGAAAATAATTAATAAATAAACGTGCCTCGTTCTCGAAGCTGGGCTTGACGGGTATCTGCACGCTGTCGGCCACCCCCTCCCCGTTGGCGCGCACGTAGTAGACAAGCAGCCGGCTGGACGGGACCATGGCGTGCGTCACGGGAACGCGAAGCCACATCTCGCACCCTCCACAGGCTCCTCCACCGCTGATTTGCCGACCGACTCTGGAACCGCGGGGTGGCACATTAGCAAACAGTTGTTTTGTTAAAGCGTCGATTTTTTTTTAATGTTTTGTTTTGTAAACGAACGTAAGCAACAATGACACTTTTTTCCCCGGCGTATGTGGAAGATTGAGGTACGTAATCCAGTATATCTTTAATAGTATATCTTTAATAAGTAAATAAAAAAACTGTACAAATTCCAGCCATTTAAATCCACAAATGTATGAAGACCTCCCCACACCATATTGGGATGCCGCAGTGGCGAGATGTTAACTATCTCGCCTGGTATACAGGAGGTCGTGGGTTTGATCCTGACCCTGATGCCTGTATATTTGGAATTTGCATGGTCTCCCCATGGTCGTGTGGAATTTTATCCAGGGCCTCTGGTTTTTCCCTCCAAGTTTAGAAACAGCATGCATTTACAGTATTTGGCTGCTATAAATGTCCACGTGATAAGCCACATCATTATGGCCAGATTGCTTCTGAAAAGAGCTATATCGCTCAGTGGGCCTTACTGATAAAAATCAAAGTTTAGTTTTCTAGTTTAGTTTGATATTAGCCATGGTCGTTTTTGACCATATTTCACCATTATGGCTAGTACGGGTTGGTGTTGGGGGGGAGGGGGGAGGGCAACACCGGTTCAGATATCACCTTTAAATGAGTAAAAATTAGGACCCACATTTATAAAGCCCTCTCTAAGTCCCTTAAGTTGGGAGCCAGGGTGGTGACAGTGAAGCAGAGTGACGTGGCTGATTGCCATCAAACCCACGCGTTAGCTCCTGGCACGTTTACATTTTGAAACAAACAAAAAAGCTTTTCCAACTACAGTCGTAGCCACACGCAACCAATGTTTGGAGAAAGAAATCAAACTTGTCAACTTCACCAAAGGGTTTTTCCACAAGGTTCATATTCGTGGTATAATTATTACTTAATGACTTTCTTAACCTTAAGAAAATATACTATGCCTTGTCTACCCTGGAAAGCCTCAAACGAGTCTAAAGACTAATTTCGACGAGTGTCTTGCTTTGGGAGTTTTACCAATTTCTGATGAATTATGATTGTGTATTCTAAGAAAACAGTACCCAGAAAAAAACAGATAAATACGACACACATACACTATCATTGGAAATTCATGCTTTGCACCATGTGGAATACAGTATATTTTTTTACAAATACCCAACAATGATATTTTGTATACTCTTTGGTTCTTTCGGTAATAGACCACAAATATGAACCTTGTGGAAAAAACATTTGGTGAAGTTGACAAGTTTGATTTCTTTCTCCAAACATTGGTTGCATGTGGCTACGACCGGAGTTTGAAAAGCTTTTTTTTACCGAAAGAACCAAAGAGTATGGATTCCTGCAGTCACAAAAGCTTCAAATCAATGACATTTTGACCATCCCTGTTGGTAACCTATAACCAAACCACCTGGAATGTGCCTGACCTTGTCTGATCTCAGAAGCTAAGCAGGTTTTAACATGGATGGTGCTTGTATGGGCGACCACCATGCACATATGGTAAAGGCTGCTGCAAGGCTAGGCTATGGGCAGCAAAGGCCAGTGCAGCCAAAGCCAATGTTGCACCGTACTATGCTCCCACATCTATGCACCTTCTGCCTTCACCATTTCACACTGACCACGGATAGGTGTAACTCCGATTAATGGTGTGACCCAGTCAAACAGTCATATATCGGAACATGTGGTGGAGCCGCTGTGGCACCAGTGGTTAGCACACTGCGCCACGAACAGACCGAGCAACCCGAATTCGATTTCTGGCCACAACGAACATCAGTGGCGAGCGACATCTGAACCAGTCCTGGGCCTCCCGATTCACCAAACGACACTGACCAGCATGGTAAAGTACGGTCAAGCAACCTCCACGACCCGCACAGCGGTGGGGAGGCCCTGTACGTATGCACGTTGAACTTCTTTCGTGCCGCACGTAGCCAACCGTGCTAACCGGAGGCGAGCCTCGTCACGCGGCAGCAGATCGACAGGCAAGGGCCGTCACACGCACGTGCGGGCGAAGCGACAGCGCCCAGGCTGCACTCCGTACCCGTCTGCTCCTGTGACCCGTGAGTGACGTCGGCATTCTTGTCGAAGACGAGGGCGTCCCGACGGCGGCGCGGCGGGGAAGCCGGGCCCCGGAATCGGCGCCGGCGGTGGCCGGCACGGCGGACCCCGGGGGGCTCTGCGCGCCGGACTGGACGATGTTGCCGCGAGCTGCCACCTCGTAGTGAAGCGAGACGTTGCAGGGGCAAGTGGACCTGATCGCCACCTTTGCTTCCTCGCCCACCTGGTAACGTCGGTTTGCAGTTTTTTTTTACGATCGAGAATAACTCGGGCACGAACCACTCATTTACCTGAATGTGTGTGTGTATGTATGTATGCATGTACGTCGAACTTCTTTCGCGCCGTACGTAGCCAACCATCCGAATCGGAGGTGTACAGGTATGTACCTGTGTGAACGAGTATGTGCATATAAATGCATGCACGTGCTTGTTTTTTTTGCAGTATTAATCAATAGTGTATTTAAAAACGTGAAATCACTCTCTATTTATATATTACTTTAGATTTTTTTTTACATTTGACTTTTATTTATTCATACAAGTAGCCTGAAACAGGCACTACTTCTGTTTGCATGTGGAGTGCATGCTCGGTATTTATCGTGCGCGAACGAAGGTGCGTGTTGCCCTCGGTGGGACGTTTTCACCTTGAGCGGTGCGTCCGGAGGCTGGAGTTGCAGGTGACATTTGCTGGGCGAGAACCAGCCGGTGATGGACATGAAGTTGGACAGGTACTGATCGCCCACCTCTCTCCCATCGATCGCCGTCACCTTCGCCTAATGGCACACGCACAGAACCGACCGACACATTGTTTGTCACCCCCCCCCCCATCCCGAGAAAGCGCTCGCACGCGTGAGAGAGAGAGAAAGGTTGCGCTGGCATTGCTTGCGCACTTGTGAGCCACGCACTTTATTCTCTCTTCATCGTCACGGATTTTTGTTTAAGGGTGCATTTCCACGGGGGCAAGAATAACCAAGAAATTCAAAATCACACCGGAATGCGTGCCCCAGTCTCATCAGATCTAAGAAGCTAAAAGCAGGGTTTCATCCTGGATAGCGCTGCAATGGGGCGACCGCCGTGCTCAAAAGACAAGTGCAGTAGGTGCTGTGGTCAGCACGGGGCGGTGCAGCAAAATCCATTTGCTGTCTTGCACTACCGCCCACCATGACCAACCTGCACTGACCAGTGTGGTGAAGTACGGTAACGTATCCCCCCACGGCCTGAAAAGCATGGGAGAAGCATTCGTCAGCAGTGGATTTAGAAAATGGGCTGTAGATGTATTTTCCATGCAATCGCTTGTGAGCATGGTTGTATATTTTATTACGGTGTAATAATAGATTAAAATCGATATCACCATACAAGCTTGCTGATCACCCTGCCAATACAAAAAAGATTGTAAATGTTGTGGCTTGGCTCTCCAACACACCGGTGTGCTGTACTAGTAATTAATTGGCCACGTTCTGTTTACGTGACAAACCTTACTAATTGGCTGTGTCGGGTGGTGGCGGTTTTAACGACACATTTATATATTTACACGATCTAACCCAAAAAAAACCTGTATTATGGATGATATTGGTCGTGAAAGCCTGCGTGTTAAAGATAGCAGAATATATATTTTAAAAATGTATACGTTTGGCCTTTCGTGATGTTTACAGAAATAGGTTCAATTGTGAAGCCATTACAATATTCATGCTACTGGATCTGTTCTCATTTGAGCAATCCATTTACAGCAAGGTCGCCGTGCATGGAAACACACTCCCAGCATGAGTGCATTTCAGCCTTTCAGGGATAATTATTTTCACGCGGTTTATTATTTTCACAGTGTACCTGAAAATTATTTTCACACTTGTCACGAGCTCTTTTTATATGTCTTCCTTTCCACCCCCCTCCCCAATTATATTCCAATTGAGCTCTTCTCTGCGGAATTTTTTAAGAGGAACTGACAATATATTCTAACTGTATGCTGAGATTGTTAAACTATTCCATGACATCAGGAGTTGCTTGATATAGAATGTGCTCGTACCTCCTATGTATGTGTATGTTTGTTTAACTTCTTTTGCACCGTACATAGCCAACTGTGCTAATCGGATGTGCAATGATCGTTATGTGCCCATCATACGCTTGTACAGGAGGTATTTGCGTTGTGTCATGTGACGAAGACATTTCTATTTGGAACTCTGCAGGAAGCAGTGCATCACCCTGTGGTGAAAAACAGAAGAAGACATGAGAAAACGACTTCTAAAGTAATTTCAAAAGGTCTCTTTAATCGACGCACCATTTAACACCCCCCAAGATGTGTGTGTCGCATGTCAAATCAAATCAAACGCTTATACGTCCCAGCGATGGAATATAGCCAGCAGCTCTCCCACTATTTTTTTCACCTGATGACGATTGCTTGTGTTGAGATCGAAACGTCGTGATATTTTTTTAAATATTTTTTTTTATCTACGTGGCTTTACCGAAAGACCCAAAGAATATACCAAAAAAATTCACACTTTTTGCAGTGGTTGATGACTGGGCTAATACCATCAACTTCGCGATGCTTGAAATTCCAGTTTAACCTTGGCCATCTAAATTTATATTTAAAGCTTTCGTGACTGCAGGCCATCTGCTCCGATTCCAACCCAGATTCTCTGCGGTACCAGCTCCGATTCCCGAGCCACCAGGCCACAACCATGCCACACGTTCTCTAATAAAGCACAACGGGCAACGCTACTGACCTCCAGCCAGACATACTGGGCCATGGTGGGTATTGAGTGGATTTGGAACGCCACGATGCCATCTCGGGACACCAGCTCACTGGTGTAGATGTTGTCCTTTGCCGCGAGCTCAGCCTTGATCCGCACAGTCACGCCATCCGCAGGGCTTCCGTCCGGATATGTCACCTCCAGCTTGAGTCGAGACATTGCAATTCATCGTTAGTTTTTAACGCTTTTCAACTGAGGTTGAATGCACTGGCACTCTACCCGTCTGACCGTCCATCCATAAATAACGAGGGGGCATTATTGCTTTCATAAAGATGATCCAACAAGAATGAACCGGTGGCTATTATGGACTTGCCCTTTTGAAAACCGGCCAAATTGATCTCAATGGGTCGTCTGAAACTTGGGAAACAAAAGCCAGGGCAAAATATCGACAATTTTCAGATATGTAAATTAATTTTGCCCTGATGGCATAATCCTAGTTACACGTAAAAACATTTTTACGAACACAGTATACAAGATTGTGCTGTCAACCTAAAAACTAAAATACCTGCCGCAATTAACAAAGGGATGACAGCAAATCTTCTGAAAATGTGGCATCCCTACTACCTTGTTAATGCAAACAAGCGAAATTAGTCTTTTTCAGCCTAGTGCAGGGTGCAGTTCCCAGGAAATGTGCAACGTCGGGCCAAGGTTGGCATGTGGTTGCAAACCGTTGGACCAACATTGGACCAACATTGACCCAACGTTCCATGTTTACCAGGTGTGTGTTCGATGCCGTTTTTCCTCCCCCACCTTTCCATGGTAAGGCAGCCCGGGCTTGAACTGCTTGCGCGTCTCACGCGAATACTTTATGTCCACCAGCTGCTTGTGCACCAGCGTAGAGTCATCGAACGCGATCTGCTTACTGCCGTCGCTGGCCACCACAGTGGCCCAGATACTCAGGGCTCCTCGGAAGTGCTCGGGCACGTTCGGGGCATCAGGTCCTTGACGCAGATGTCAAAGGACGCCGCTCCATCGACCTGGGAGGTAAACGAGGATGGCGGTGGAGCTCGCGGCTGGCGTCATTCAGTCCGCCGCGTGACGTGTGCAGTATGATTTGAACGTGGCGAATTGCCATGTTGTTTGAGAGGTGAAGCCAATGAGACTGTGAACTCGTGAAGAGCTTACCTCGAAGGTTTTGAGGACGGGCATGCCGAGGTCCTGTCTGTAATAGCCGACTCCGTTCACGGTCATGTTCACGGTGGCCTTTCCTCGCACCGGCTTCCCAAATGTGTACCTGATAAAGTAACATAATTCACAAGCTGCATTTACTCCTATCTTTTTGTTTCTTCTGTGATATAAAAAAAAAGTTGACAATGCGCGTGTTACTACGTTCGTGCCGGACGTTAAAAGCAAACCTGGCCCGGACTCTTGCTTTATCGCAGACGTTGAGGTTTCTGATGAAGCTGGGAGTGCTGATATCAACTTCAAACTTTGGCAGCACTGGGGGAAAAACATGAAAGCGAAAGGTTTTGTCTGCACCTTGAACTCACACCATTAAAATGCCCTTCATAGTTTTGAAAATTGTATTGATTCACCACCCTTCCCTTTCCTTCTGGGAATTCAATGAATCGCTACAATTCAGGCTGACAATTCGATTTGAGAATTTATATTTTTTCACGTTTATGTGAATGGTAGTGCCTCTATAGTGCTGTAGAGGTGACGTGAGCCCATTACACACAACGTATACAAATCCAAACATGTAAAATATTCAAGCACGAGGTCAGATGTATCACTAGCATAATAACCATTCCACCCATCGTGTGCATAGATAGGGAAAATATAAAAATCCCAAAAAGTGCACAGTTTTGGAAAAGAGTATTGTCTTGGAAAAACACTTGATAACCCACTCAATTGCACGGGCTACAAAGTATGTGAGAGTGGGTGGATTAAGTCGTTGAAAAAATATGAATGATCACATGCACTGTGCAGCCATCTGCGAGGAGATTACGCAAGCGTATTGTAAAGTGTCACTTTTAAGCTTGTATGGGTCATCTTAAAACACATACATACGGGTTATATATTTTTTACAGGACACCTTTGAAATGTACAGGAGGATTATTTTTGCAGAGACACAAGCTCAACTTTTTTTGTTACGCCAGATTGATTGTGGCGAGGTGGGGGGGGGGGCTTTTGGAAGAGGAGGGGGGGGGAACAAACACATAACAACAGCCATCAAACACAGCATGGCTCCATCCTGCCGAGGGACGCTAAACCTTGGCATTAATGTGTTTTTTCCTTTTAAGGGCATCAGCCACCGCTTCCTGCAATGACCCCTGAGGGACGGAGGCTGCCATCCTGCCACGTGCCTGCTCAAAACAACAACTTCCTTCACAAAACATCCTGTCATCACCGAGGGGGAATGAGAACAATGGGCATTTGTCTGCGAGCAAAAAAAAAACATGGGTTACTGTTTTAGAGATATATATATGTATATTTTTATTCTTTTTTATATTCTTCACCTGACGTTATTTCATCTGAATGTGCCGGTTACTTTGACCAAATCCAACAGGGAGACAAAATATGTCCCACCACAGTTCCGACAGCTTGTCATATTCATTTAAACATCTGGGCATGGGTGAAGGGAAATACAACAAAGTTGGGTTTGGCGAGCGATTTATCAAACTAATTAATTGAGAGTTCTCCCTCGAATAATAAATCCTGAGCGCTCATCCGTGTCGCCCTGCCTGACTTAATCGGAGGTTTAACGGTGGTGACTTAAACAAGTGACAAATCCCAAAGCTAATTAATTTCCGAAAAGTTGAATTGATTTTACACCTAAATGAATACTTTATCCCTGTCAATAGGAGCTGTTGGAACTTAAAAATGACCAAAGGCTTTACGGGGCACCACTCGTGGCTTGAGTTGTTAGCATAATCAAGATTTCCGTCCTGCGTATAATGCTTGGTAATTATGTCTGTTCTTTCTCAATTTACTTTCTTTAGTTGTATGTGGCCAGACATTAGCTTGAATGCAGTAGTACATTGCTGTTGACACATTAAGTTCACGATCTGCTGGCATGCTATAGCAAAGGTTGAGAAACCCACCGTATTTTTGCACTTCAAAGGACTTGTTGTAGGTGTGGGAATGGATCTCCACGAAGATCATCCACTCTCCAAAGATTGGTTGCTCGGAGAGTGGGAAGCTCACATTCATGATTCCTAAAATAAGTGCATGGACGCATACACACAAACGCATGGTAATAGACATTTCAGGAGACAGCTTGACCACTTCCCCTGTGCTTATGAGTTTATTTAACCAGGGCTATAACAATGGCTTAATATTTCACTCGATATTTTTCAGAACGCTGCTAGGCTAACACAGAGTAGGGATTCTCGAGGTACGCCTATCCATAATGATCCCATATTATTGTGCGCTATACTCCTGCAATTATCTGAACAGGTTTTGGACAAAATAAGGTGAGATGGATGTCTCATGCCAAAATAATTCCCAGAACAATGTTCCAAAATGTTTTTGGCTGTTTTGGCTGAAATTAATCATTCGCTATAACTGACATATAATCAGTTTCTCTTGGGTTAGATCGTGTAGGTATCAATATAACGTACAAAAAAATATTTCGACAAGAGAATCCTAAATAAAATATGCTAAAGATTACAATACATCTTCAACACACAAATATGAACCAAAAAACATCCATACTGCAAGGACAGAGGCTAAGGAAAATGTAGTAAACCCGATTGCTGAATCAGTTTTTACCACAACAGATGGGATGTAGGTCACTCCACTGGACCATGCGTGATCCTCTTGGGTCCTGAATGTGAAGACAAGGCAAGTCAGCACTCATGCCAGTTCAGTAATTGGGAACAACTTAAACACGTGCATGGCTTTGACTCGCGTTTCAGAGCTACCAAAGCCCATTTACCCAACAGACATAGTTGTCAACGTGATATACAACGTGTACAATGTGGATGGATCGTGGATTTATCGCAGTGGAGCAGGAGGTTGTGAAGATATTTTTAAATACTTTTGTGCTCTATTTACTCGCTATATTCATCGCTATGTGTTCATCAAAACAGTAACTTTTTCAGTAATTCTTAATTGTTTGCAGATGAATCAAGTCAAATTGTATGAGGTTGTAGACTTACCACAATGTATGCTTCCACCTGGAAATTAGAGATGGGTAATTAAAGATCACGTGAACTGGGCAACTGAAGCGATAACCAAACATGTGTTTGGGAAGCAAATGAAATGCAATTTTCTGTTTTATTTCGATTGAAAAATTCTGCACGGAAACCATTTGGCAACGTGTGCAATGTGTAGAATCAACAATGCACTTTGTCATTAGTAAAGACTACATTTTTAATCTGGCAATGAAGTTGCATTCACATTACACTTTTGTTTATATGTGTAGGCAAAAGAATGCATTTATTCTTCCTCACCTTTTCATTGATAGGCCTCAGTTCTGGACTTATGATAATGAAGTTGGCAAGAACTGTAAAAAAATCCCCACAAAAAGCACAAGTAAACCCTGTTATGATCATTTATAATTAATGAAAATAAAAAAATTCCCACGTGTTACGTTGCAATTATTCTGTTTTGGTTTTGTAAAAAAATCAACCAATGTGCCAATGCCGTTAAGTTGCTTTTTGGATTGCATATGTGCTGTGCGACAACACTTTACAGCTCCCACATGTAATACTATCATCACAATTACTTGCTTTCTTTTCTAATCATATCTTTTCATTTCAACATGCACACGGAAACGTGACAGTTACAAAACAATGTCGCATATCCGACTCGTCAGAGACTGAGCGATATTCTGGACATGAGAAAAAGAGCTTCATAGCTCATCGGATTCCTCCAGAATAAATAAAGTCCGAATCTGATATACGTGGATATGTGACATGGTCAGATGTAGGAACATCTACAGAAAAATAATTACACCCTTCACAAATACTGCCCTACGTGTGAGAGGTTAATTGGTCATGGTGGATGAGCAACGGTCGGATATGCGATCTTGTACCGTGCGGAAATGATCATTCGTGGAATGAAACAAGCCGTATGATCGTGTTTCAAATATCATTATTCTTGCCTCTCTGTTTGGGCTTGTAGACGGGTTTATCAGTCTGGATCAGCACTGTGGAACCTCTCTGCTCCACGGTGATGGTGGTGGAGTTTTGGAATGAGAAGGCATCATCACTCTTGGAGGTGGAATTATGGCTTCCCCACACCCTCAAGTGAGCTTGACCCCTCAATCCGCGCGGCACCTTTGGTGGGTACATGGGCACAACAGGCAAATAGAGGTTTCGATTTAAAGCTTTCGTGACTGCAGGGATTCATATTCTTGGTTCTTTCGGTAAAGTCACGTAGAAGGGAAATAAAAAATAATAAAAATATGAAACAATAAAATTCTCACGACGTTTCGACTGCAACACAAGCAATCATCAGCAGGTGTGAAATCCACACCAAGAATATAAATACAAGTTTGTGAAGATTGCTTGACAGATCCCAAGCACGTGTGGCTTTTATCATTTGTTCGAAGGAGGGAGGTTGGTTCATATTTTTTATATTTACTTCTTTTGTCAAGGCGACATTCTGGCATTACTTGAAATGCGGCACAATATTAACATTTGATAACAAAAATGTGTGTTCGCAAATGAGTTAAAAAACAAACTTACTTTCAGTTTTATTACACCCTTTTCTGCAAACGACAAAAGGAACAAACTTAAATCGACGTGTTCACAGCATCAGAAACATTACCGTGCTTACGCGTAGATTTTTTTTGGTGCGGAGGGGGGGGGAAGGGTTAAAATGAGCATTATTCATAAATACACGGGCTTCGTTACGAGCACCCTCATTCGCCGTCGCTTACCAAACACACCGCCACGGCTGTGTGCCACCGTCTCCCCGTGGACCGCCAGGCACGCCTGGACGGCGGTCTCTGCCGCGGGGTTAAAAAAAGTGACGCTGATGGCCTCCTCCACCCCGGCTCTGAACACCGAGGGAGCTGCCACCAGATAGCCGCTAAGCGACAAAATAAAACAACAACAACAAAACAAAGACAACAAGCAGGGCCAAGTGTTACCGACTTGTCAACGAGGCAACGGCAGCGGCAAAAATTGCTTTCTGTACACGGGATGTATGAAAAGGGGCATTGTCAAATTTTCACTTAACCACTTGTTTTTATTATCGCTTGCACCACCACCGACCACAATATTCAACGTGGATCTTGTGAGAGAGAGAGAGAAACTCATCAATTTACACGTGAAGCTAGGCAATTAATGAAAACGCATATCTATGTATGTATTATTTATTTTATTAACCTCTCAAACAATGCAATTCTTGTGCAATCAGAACCTCTCACTTATACAGTATCTCAAAACTACAATTCTTTGGCAACCAGTGCCCCCAAATTCCCCCGAACAGCGTGTACAATCACTTACTCATTCCAAGCTGTGTACAGCAATCCTTGTTTCTTGATGGTTACAGCGTACCGTTAAGTGACATACTGTACCAATTCAATTTGTGATAGACCACATGCCATGAACAATTGAATGAATAAATTCCACTTACCGTGGCAAGGGCCCTTCACAGTGACACAGGCGAGGGCAGAGAGCAGGAGGAACCAGAGATGTCCATCTCCTCGAAAGTCCATGATGACAATGACGACGGCGATTGAACGTACAAAAAAAGAACAACTCTCGATCCAAACCAGTCGAGTCCGCCCGAGTTCCCTCTCTCGCTGGAGTTGCCAGTCCGGCACAAGTGGCTTTTTCACAGTCGTGCCCAGGGATTTTTCACTTCAAAGGACAGACGGAGGCTGTAAGGATTTATCGCCCAGAGCCGGGAGGAAAAGATGTTTGCTCCTTCCACGACCCAGACACAGCCCGGCTTTTGTGCTCTTCGCTGCGGTCCCGGCGCAATCTCTTAAGCATTCATTCATTCGCTGACTCGTTCATTCATTAATCGAGCCCCCGTTTCTTTTAAAGCCCAACACATTGCCGGGACGAAACTGGATACCCTCTGAGCTTCTCTTCATTAGCGAGCCGGCACCCGGCGTTTGTATTAATTTATATATTTTCTTATTGCTATTCTTTGTGTTGCCCCCCATCCCCCCCCCTACCCACCCCCTACTCACAAACAGTTAAAATGTTAATCGTCCTCCTCTGGATGCTGCACGGACTCACTGGGGTTTGGAACGCGCCTGCCGCTCGCACGGCGCTGAGCACATTTAGTGTTTGCAGATGGGTTGAGGTTGCATGAAGAAGGGATGGCTTGAAGCTTGCCCCTCCCGGCTCTCACTCAACAACCACAACCTCCAACCACCACCAACCCCCCCCCCAACCATCTTCACATCATAAATCACCTCCTTAATTCACTTTGGCAGGGCGTCCTGTGGACCCCATGCAACTGCTTTTCCGAGCTCTAAAGCAATTGTGTAGTTTGTCTTTTGTGTGTGTGCGCGCTTGTCATTTTGTGCATGCGCGTGCGTGCGTGCCATTGTATTCGTTGTGTCATTCTGCGCAAATGATTGCGTATGTGTGCCACTGCGTGTATATTTGTGTGTTATTTTCTTTTGTGTCACTTTGTTCTGTTGTGTGTGCGTGTACAAATAAAATGTAACAGAGCGAATGCATTACAGGTTACTTGATGAATCGGCTCACATTCTTCACAAAAAAAATTGTTGAATTTGATAAAGTTATTGTTTGTCTGATTAAGAAAGGGGCCGACATGCAATATATTCGGTAGTTCTACACTAGTCGGAGCTAAATAATGAAGTTGTAATTATGGACTATGTTGTATGTACAATACGCTGTACGAATTATATCTCCTCTTTACATAGATACGCCAACATTCTGCCGTAACAATTCTTTAGCGCCTACATATCCTGTCTCGTTATTATTGTTGCCAAACTAAGGATGGTGATGTGTGCAATTTAGGTGGAAAGAGCACTCTGGTACATACGCATTCATAACCATATGCTTTTCAAAATATGATAACTCATGTCATTGGCTTCATGTAGACTACATCATTGCAATTTATGGGACTCAAACTGAAATTAGATGGAGTCTTCAATGTGTGTTCAACAGTGTATTTATTCTTCCTGCAGTCACGAAAGCTCCAAAATTAACAGTGTATTTGTTTACTTTCTAATGTAATAATTTACAGTACTTTTGTCAAGTAAATCTTGCTGGGTGAAGGCCTCTCCATGCCTTTTGATCACGGGGGTTGTTTGAACCATACTTCACCATGCTGGTCAGTGTGGCTTTGTGAATGGGGATGTTCGCTGTGGACAAGAATCAAACTCGGGTGGCGCACTGTGTGTTCATGGTGCAGTGTGCTAACCACTGGTGTCACAGCTGCTCCGCCAACAGTTTTGATACATGGCTGTTTTGCTGGGTCATTCTACCCATCTGAGTTGCACCTATCCATTCAGTCCAGCCGCTTCATTGCCCGTGCAATGTTTCGTTATTCACTCATGTGTGTATTTAAGCCATATAAGAGCTCACTGGGATATAACACATTTTTTTTCCAGGAGAGGCCTGTAAAACAGATGTGAGAGACAGAGGCAGTGATAGAGAGATAAAATCCCAGAGTGCAACAATATATACCGTATTGCAATAATTGAAATACTGTTATTGGTAATACAGCTATTGTGGATTGGACAGTGAAAAAACGCTAATAACGTATAAAAACAAACGATGCATTTTCTTATCTTAACGGAGGCTCTGTTTGTATAACTTGTGCTGTTGTTTATATTACATTTGGGCAGGGACCAATTCATGAGGTGACGTTGAGAATACATCTCTCAAAAAACCAAACTGAGACTGGACTCTGTTCACATGTTCATCGGTGGCTCTTCGGTGTCTTTGTTCATAGACCCCCTTTAGCGGAAGTTTGGGCTTTTCAGAGTTTATCCAATTTCGCCACAACCCTACCCTGACACTGATATTGAGGTAGTACCTAACACAACTGAATGCGATTCTGGCTGGACAAATTAAACATCATTTGTTAAAACTTATCCTGAAATCTATTGTATATATTCTTGTATCTGCTATCTTACACAGCAAATAAAAGGTGAGTTAGACATGATTTACTGTCAATTCGAAAACATTTTTGTAATTCTCACCACTTATTTTTTATGGTTCTAGAACATTTTTCAGCGCTAGATATTTCATTTGCATCTCAGGTCAATCTTGAAAGTAAGACCTGTGAGTCCCTTTGGGTTGTAGGTACTCGTATGTATGCATTTTATTCACAGTGGTTTGTCAATCCACTGCTGGATGAAGACTGCTAAGGGGGTGGTTTGGCTATAGTCCACCACGCTGATCAGTGTGGGTTGGTGAACGGGGTAGCACCAGGACTGGTTTATGGCTGGGAAACGAAGTCGAACTCAGGTAGCGAAGTTAGTAGCGCAGTGCGCTAGCCATTGCAATCACCACTCCATCCTAAGAAGATGAACAAGGGGGTCCCCGTATGACCTACACAGGCTGTTAGGGCAAGTGCTCTTAGTGAGCACTTATTAAGGACGAAACAGCAGCACGCACAAAGGGGTGGTGTGGCTCGTACCATCTCCGGCCAACTTTGTCTCCCCAGTGTTCGTGTTAACACACTGCACCAGCAGATACTCATTTAAGGCTGAGTCGCCCTAGAGGAGGTCCAGGACGGGTTTAGATTCAGATATCACTCACAACTGATACTGACCATGGCTAGGAGTCGAACGCAGTCCAGTCGGGTCAAAACGTTCCAACAACAAACAATTCAAAAACACGATAGGAGCGCACAGGTAAACGAATCACTTGAAAAAAATATATGTAAATAAAAGTTATTTTGTTAATCTTCCCAAGTAAAGCCCACTGAGCTATTAACTTATTTTTCAGAAGCGACCTGGCCACAAAAAGAGCTTTTACAGCTCATCGGATTCCTCCAGTACGAAAAAATATTACGATTCTGTACATACATCAAACTTCTTTCGCACCGTACGGTAGCCAACCGTGCTGATAAACGAAAGCGCAATTCATGGAGAAAATAACCACCACAAAGATTCCCCCCTGTAGCCTGAACAGACTGTTGGGGCAAGTGCTGTTAGCGAGCAGCACCTATGAAGGCCGGCACTGTGGCACACGAAGGGGGGTGGATGGCCAGCACCACGCCCGACCGCCTTTGTCTCCCCAGTGGCGGTGTTTACTGCACACCGCACGGGGGAACTAATTTTAAGGCTGAGTCGACCTAGGAGGGAGGGGGGGTTGGAGCCCAGGTAACCCGTTCGGATATAATCGTCACTTGGCGTGGGTGGCCGTGAGCGGGAATCGAACTCGGGTAGCCGGGTTCGGAGCGATGACCCCTAACACTACCGCACCAAAGATCCCCCGTATGGCCTTAACAGACTGTAGGGGTACCACTCACTCACACGGGGGGGGGGGGGGGTCAATGTGCAACCCAGGTCACCCCGTCGTCGTCGTCTGATAAACGAGGCAGCAGACAGCCTGCCCGCGTGTGGCAGGCGCCGGTCGGGGGACGCGGTGGCGGGGGGCTCGAGTTGTAAAAGGACCCCCCCCCCAACACCACCACCACCACCAGTCCCTCCACACCACCATCACCCACACCACCACCACCAGTCCCCCCACACCACCACCACCACCCCCCACACCACTACCCCCCGACACCACCACCCCCCACACCACCACCACCAGTACCCCCACTACCACCACCATCCGCCACACCACCACCCCCCACACCACTACCGCACCCCCTCCACACCACCACCCCCCCACACACCACCACCACCCCTACACCACCCCCCACCCCACACCACAACCACCACCTCCCACACCCCCCACACCACCACCACCAGTCCCCCCACACCACCACCACCCGCCACACCATCACCCTCCACACCACTACCACCACCCCCCACACCACCACCACCCCCCCACACACCACCACCACACACACCACCACCACCACCCCCCACTCCACCAACCCCCCACATCACCACCACCCCCCACATCACCACCAACACCATCCCCCCCCCAACCTTCCAGCGCTGATTTATTGATGTTGATGGGGGCTCCGAGTCAATTCCACGCACAAAGGCGTAATGAGTGCGACACGTGCATCGCAGGAATGCAGCACGCGTCAACGCACACTCAGGGGGTACACACACTCAGGGGGGTACAAACATAGAGGGGTACACACACAGGGGTACACACACACAGAGGGGCACACACACAGAGGGGTACACACAGAGGGGTACACACACACAGAGGGGTACACACTCAGAGGGGTACACACACTCAGGGACACTCACAGAGGGTACACACACACAGAGGGGTACACACACTCAGGGGGGTACACACACACAGAGGGGTACACACACACAGAGGGGTACACACACATAGAGGGCTCATACACAGAGGGGTACACACACTCAGGGGGTACACACACTCAGAGGGGTACACACACACAGAGGGGTACACACACATAGAGGGCTCACACACAGAGGGGTACACACACAGAGGGGTACACACACTCAGGGGGGTACAAACACAGAGGGGTACACACACAGAGGGGTACACACAGAGGGGTACACACACTCAGGGGGGTACACTCACAGAGGGGTAGACACACACAGAGGGGTACACACACACAGAGGGGTACACACACACAGAGGGGTACACAAACTCAGGGGGGTACACACACACAGAGGGGTACACATACACAGAGGGGTAGACACACAGAGGGGTAAACACACACAGAGGGTACACACACCGAGGGGTACACACACACAGAGGGGTACACACACACACAGAGGGGTACACACACACAGAGGGGTACACACACACACAGAGGGGTACACACACAGAGGGGTAAACACACACAGAGGGGTACACACACACACACAGAGGGGTACACACACACACAGAGGGGTACACACACACACAGAGGGGTACACACACACACAGACGGGTACACACACATAACCAGAGGGGTACACACACACACAGAGGGGTACACACACACACAGAGGGGTCTCACACACACACACACACAGAGGGGTAGACACACACAGAGGGGTACACACACAGAGTGCACACACACAGAGGGTACACACATAGAGGGGTACACACACACAGAGGGGTACACACACAGAGGTGCACACACACAGAGGGGTACACACACAGAGGTACACACACACAGATGTACACACACACACACAGAGGTACACACACACAGAGGGACACACACACACAGAGGTACACACACACAGAGGGACACACACACACAGAGGGTACACACACAGGGGTACACACACACAGAAGGGTATACACACACACACAGAGGGGTACACACACACACACAGAGGGGTACACACACACAGAGGGGTACACACACAGAGGGGGTAGACACACTGAGGGAATAGACACACACAGAGGGGTACACACACAGAGGGTACACACACACAGAGGGGTAGACACACTGAGGGGGTAGACACACACAGAGAGGTACACACACAGAGGGGTACACACACAGAGGGGTACACACACACAGAGGGGTACACACACAGAGGGGTAGACACACACAGAGGGGTACACACACACAGAGGGGTACACACACAGAGGTGCACACACACAGAGGGGTACACACACACAGAGGGGTACACACACAGAGGGTACACACACAGAGGGGGTACACACACACAGAGGGGTACACACACAGAAGGGTACACACGCACAGAGGGGTACACACACACAGAGGGGTACACACACAGAGGTACACACACACAGAGGGGTACACACACACACAGAGGGGTACACACACAGAGGGGTACACACACAGAGGGGGTACACACACACAGAGGGGTACACACACAGAGGGGTACACACACAGAGGGGTACACACACAGAGGGGTACACACACAGAGGGGTACACACACACAGAGGGGCACACACACACAGAGGGGTACACACACACTCAGGGGGTACACACACACAGAGGGGTAGACACACACAGAGGGGGTACACACACAGAAGTGCACACACACAGAGGGTACACACATAGAGGGGTACACACACACAGAGGGGTACACACACAGAGGTGCACACACACAGAGGGGTACACACACAGAGGTACACACACACAGATGTACACACACACACACAGAGGTACACACACACAGAGGGACACACACACACAGAGGTACACACACACAGAGGCAGACACACACACACAGAGGTACACACACAGGGGGACACACACAGACAGAGGTACACACACACAGAGGCAGACACACACACACAGAGGTACACACACACAGAGAGGTACACACACACAGAGGTACACACACAGAGGGGTACACACACACAGAGGTACACACACACAGAGGGGTACACACACACTGAGGTACACACACAGAGGGGTACACACACTGAGGGGTACACACACACAGAGGGGTACACACACACTGAGGTACACACACAGAGGGGTACACACACTGAGGGTACACACACACTGAGGGGTACACACAAACTAAAATGCACACAGAAAAATGCTCATTACCACACACATTAGTACACAACCTTACGGAAACCCATTCATTGTTATTCCAATGCAGTAGTAATTGTAATGATAAATAATATTAATAATTATCATTTGATTTAAAATGTATGATGATTGCTTGTGTTGCAGTCGAAACGTCGTGAGAATTTTATTGTTTTTTATTCTTATTATTTTATTATTTCCCTTCTACGTGACTTTACCGAAAGAACCAAGAATATAAGAATAATCATCATGTTTCAAATACACCTTCGGTCATAATAAATCCGCTGTTGGATGAAGTACTGTACTCATTAATACGTGCAATGTCATTTGAGAATGATTTTATTGTTTGTGCAAAGTGCATGCAATGCATTTCTACAATTAGTCACGAAACGAGGCCATAGCCGTGAATGTGGAACGAAATATAATTCACGTCCACCCCTGCCTTCTGCCTGCCGACAAATGTCTATTGTGTTTTCCATCCAGGGTTAACAATACTCATCAGACTCAAGTGCAAACAAAATCGGCGTCAAAGTTATACGTTTGGAAAGGGCACGCAGATTGCTTCCCAGCTGCTTAAGTCTGTTAACTACATGTTAATGCCTGTCGAGAACAATTGCTCAGCATAATTACGCAATACTATGCCTGAATTGTGTCCAACAGCATTTATTGAAACATGCAGGCACGCAACACTGATTTGAAGGAACTGATACCATGTATATACACAGTTGTTAACATAATAGTCCAACTTCTCGGGGATTTTTTTTTATAATAGCCAACCAACACATGAGCACAATAAGTTCCGTGGCTGCTATAAACATGGGGAATTTCATTCC